TATGCGTCTCTCGGTGCAGCGCGGGGGCCCGCCCGGGGGTGCAGGGGAGGAAGAGAGGGGGGGGGGGAGATTAGGGCCTAGGACATCGGACGTGGCCACTAATTGGAGGGACTGGTTTGCGGGACAATTTCGCGAAATTTCCCCGCGAGACGTATACTCGCCCCGCTCGCTTTCGTGAGAAACGCGATAGGGAAAGCGCGTCTGCGACAAACGCGATTACGCAGCCAGAATTTGGAATCATCGCGCGAATCGGCTTAACGACCCTTTCGATGGAACAATCCTTGCAGTAGAACCGCGTGACTGACAATAGAATATCGACAGCGAATTATTTGAATTTCCTATTATTATTATTATTATTGCCACATATTACCATTATAAATATTAAAATCTTCTTCTACTAAATTGCACTTTTCTGATAGAAAAATACTTTTTTAACGGAAAATAAAAACCTAAATTAGACAAAAATAAAATAAAAATGTGTACTTTTTTTGTGGAAGATTTCATCTCTGTTCGAAAATAATAAAGTTTTTCCACTTTTTCGCTCATCGGTGTTTCTTGTTTTTGGTATCAGGTACAAGTACAGAGTGTCTTACTCAAATCTTGTAAAAAAATTCCCTGAAAATTCCCTGATCTCCCAGGTATTTTCGTTCAAAATTTCAGGTAAAGAGAATATTTCAAAGATTCTTTTGTGCAATTTTTGAAAATAAGTTTTTTTATTGAACGCGTTGCCATTCCTGGGCGCAGCTTTGTTTTAATAACTGCGTCGCCGACACGACTGCCGCTTCTCGACACGCGGTTGTTAATTAAATTTAATAATCCGACCTCTTGTGCGCGCGAATCCCCGGAATTCGCGGGCTCTTGTCGTTCTCCCCGCCAAGTCTGTTCTCTCTCTCTCTCTCTCTCTCTCTTTCGTTTTCGAACGCGTGCACCCTCTCTCCGCCCTTGTAAGCTAATACGGACCCTTATCTCGAGACAATGGGCGTCATCAATTCTGTCAAGAACGCGGTATTTCGACTCGCTCTTAAGCGACACTAAAATTAATCCCAGAATGTGTCGCTCGATTTCATTGAACCGACATATTGTAAATTCTATAAATATAAGATGATGTTTTCATTTAATTTATTCCATCTAAAATATCGTATAAAATCGAGAGGTAAAAAACGAAAAGAAAATAAGTAATGGAAAATAAAGTAAATGGAAAATTACGGAGAAACGAATTTTTAATCTTTTATTTCGTTCGTAATTTTCTATACGCTTTTAATATTTATCTTTTATTTCTTTATGGATAAAATTAAAATCGTTACATTTCCTGAAAATTACATCCCCTTTCGTTCTCTCATATCAATTATATTTCTCTGAAAAAGGTATTAAATTCGATTTTAAATCGTCGTATCTGTTTGTTTTTGTTTACGTGAATGTTAAAATTCATTATAGGTATGCAGAGACTGCTAATATCCAATTTCATTTATTATTATTATATTATTATTATTATCTGGCATAAAATATTTCGCCACTTTTTGTACGTCATTTATTTTTGACATAACTCTGAATTTTAGCTTTTTTTTTACATATTTTTCTTTATTCTTCTTACTTTCGGGAGATTTCTGTAAAGGACGTTGTATGCGTCCGAGATAGGGGAGAGCGGGGGAGAAGGGAGTTATTGTTAAAGTAAATCTTACTTCGTATCTCGCTCTTCCTTTGCCCTGTCCCTTCAGACTCTCCCTTCAGACCTTGCGGGTTAACTCAATTTCGCCGTTGCCGGTGTAAACCACCGGCGCTCGCCGCTGATGTAAAGTCTACTTTACACGAAACAACGACGTTCGGCCCTTTCGCGCGAGCGAGAGATGTACAGGGGGCGAATCCCGACCACTAATTAAGAGACGCGCCGAGCGCGGGGCTCGTTCGCGCTCGGGGAATTCGGGGTAGTCTCTCGCCCCCCTCTCGCCTTGAGAGACGAATGCGCTCGTTTCGCGAACGCGTACTCTTCGGGGAGTCCATTACGCCACCCCGGCACACACATTCCTGCGCGACGTTAATAACGGACAGCGGATTCCCGTTGCTTTGCGGATTATAAGAGTCGTCACACGGATCTGCATGGCTCAATTCTTGCATTTTTCCCAATTTATAAAGAGACTGAATGTACTTATTTGTCTACTGCTTAATATATTTTGGGACTACTTTGTTTTAAATGTACATGTAAAAAAATTTTCTAAAAATTTTTCACGCATTTTTGTCTGAATTTTCAAATCTTGATAATTTCAGATAATCTGCCTTAATCATCAGTCGTTTTTCTAAAAGTTCAGAAAAGTGTGTCTGAAAATTCAGAGAATGTGAGACAAAAATAAAATAAAAATGTGCACTTTTTTTGTGGAAGATTTCATCTCTGTTCGAAAATAATAAAGTTTTTCCACTTTTTCGCTCATCGGTGTTTCTTGTTTTTGGTATCAGGTACAAGTACAGAGTGTCTTACTCAAATCTTGTAAAAAAATTCCCTGAAAATTCCCTGATCTCCCAGGTATTTTCGTTCAAAATTTCAGGTAAAGAGAATATTTCAAAGATTCTTTTGTGCAATTTTTGAAAATAAGTTTTTTTATTGAACGCGTTGCACTAATGCTTTTCACTCATACGAAGGAAAAACATAAAGCCACATGAGTTTCAAGTGCTAGATTTGCAAATGTACTGAAAAAAGAGCCTCAAGAAAAAAATTTTTAACTTGCGTAACATTTTCATTTTTTATCATTAGAAATTAAAATAAAGAATATGTACTGTATATTCAATATTTTCTTAAGACATTCAATATATAAAAACAAAGATATATATATTTATAAAGATGATGTTTTCATTTAATTTATTCCATCTAAAATATCGTATAAAATCGAGAGGTAAAAAACGAAAAGAAAATAAGTAATGGAAAATAAAGTAAATGGAAAATTACGGAGAAACGAATTTTTAATCTTTTATTTCGTTCGTAATTTTCTATACGCTTTTAATATTTATCTTTTATTTCTTTATGGATAAAATTAAAATCGTTACATTTCCTGAAAATTACATCCCCTTTCGTTCTCTCATATCAATTATATTTCTCTGAAAAAGGTATTAAATTCGATTTTAAATCGTCGTATCTGTTTGTTTTTGTTTACGTGAATGTTAAAATTCATTATAGGTATGCAGAGACTGCTAATATCCAATTTCATTTATTATTATTATATTATTATTATTATCTGGCATAAAATATTTCGCCACTTTTTGTACGTCATTTATTTTTGACATAACTCTGAATTTTAGCTTTTTTTTTACATATTTTTCTTTATTCTTCTTACTTTCGGGAGATTTCTGTAAAGGACGTTGTATGCGTCCGAGATAGGGGAGAGCGGGGGAGAAGGGAGTTATTGTTAAAGTAAATCTTACTTCGTATCTCGCTCTTCCTTTGCCCTGTCCCTTCAGACTCTCCCTTCAGACCTTGCGGGTTAACTCAATTTCGCCGTTGCCGGTGTAAACCACCGGCGCTCGCCGCTGATGTAAAGTCTACTTTACACGAAACAACGACGTTCGGCCCTTTCGCGCGAGCGAGAGATGTACAGGGGGCGAATCCCGACCACTAATTAAGAGACGCGCCGAGCGCGGGGCTCGTTCGCGCTCGGGGAATTCGGGGTAGTCTCTCGCCCCCCTCTCGCCTTGAGAGACGAATGCGCTCGTTTCGCGAACGCGTACTCTTCGGGGAGTCCATTACGCCACCCCGGCACACACATTCCTGCGCGACGTTAATAACGGACAGCGGATTCCCGTTGCTTTGCGGATTATAAGAGTCGTCACACGGATCTGCATGGCTCAATTCTTGCATTTTTCCCAATTTATAAAGAGACTGAATGTACTTATTTGTCTACTGCTTAATATATTTTGGGACTACTTTGTTTTAAATGTACATGTAAAAAAATTTTCTAAAAATTTTTCACGCATTTTTGTCTGAATTTTCAAATCTTGATAATTTCAGATAATCTGCCTTAATCATCAGTTGTTTTTCTAAAAGTTCAGAAAAGTGTGTCTGAAAATTCAGAGAATGTGTCTGAAAAAGACACTTTATCTGAAGCTTCAGTCAGTTTTTTTTTTACAGTGAAGTTATCCTCAAAAATTTCAAAATTGTGTACTCGTTTTATTTCATTTTTAATTTAAAAAAAAAATCTATCGATATTAAATTTCTAAATCCATCTCTTATTCTCTCTCTTCAAAATATCATCAATATATATATAATATAAAACAAAATCGAAATTGATAAAGCATAAAATGAAGATTGGCAGAAGTTTTCTAGCAAGATTCTTTCGCTCTTAGCAATCCTCGCAAGAAATCTTCAAGATTCAAGACACAAGGATCGAACTGACGACGACAACGACGCCTCGGAGAATCTGCGGGCCTCCAGGATCCAATTATCCAGAGTAGAATAAAATTGCGACGGCACGAATCGTTCATACGCGTTGTATATCCCAGGCCCAAGGAGTAATTTCGCCCCCGTAATGCCCTGATGTATATTGTCGAGCTGTGCCGTGTATGATTTTGCTGTGTTTACCGTGGTGATGCGCCGTGACGGCACATCGCCGAGGAAATTGAGTTACGAGAGATAAAAGGAGAGAAAGAGAAAGAGAGAGAGAGAGAGAAAAAGAGAGAGAGAAAGTAGTTCTACGCGGGCTGCATCGTTGCATCCGACAGAGCTGAAGAGCTTTGGAAGAGAGATTTAGGCGATGTCTAATCGAATTTGACAGTCAAATCCTACTGACAATCAGCTGATCCGAGCGCGTTGACGTTTTCGAGCCTCAAATCCGTTCTCAATTCAAAATCTCCAAAGCTTCGGCGTTTAAACTTTATAATAACTTGTTTATAATCGGATCTTTAATAATTCTTTTTTTTTCTCCAACTTTAGCGTACTTCAAATCTCTTTTTTTTTTTTATTTTAGTATTTTTTAAATTACTTTAACGCTGCGCAGTGTGCTTAATTATTTTCGACTTACCGGGACACTCTATTCTGCGCTATCCTACCGTGGCTGGGTAGTGTCATGTTGCTGTCGCTTTTCGACCAGGTGACGGAGTTCTTGGCGTCGGGTAGGTCGACCTTACCCAGATAAGCCTCGCAGAAGAGCCTCGCTGTACCTCCCAGGGGCACTAACTGTGAAGCTGGTCTGTAGGTAGGTAGAGGTTTCCCTGTGTAGACACCGGATTCTTCATCTGCAATTCAAATTGCATATATACGTTGAATATAAATTACGATACTCGTATAAATATATGTATAATAAATAATTACGATATATAATTAATCTATATA